TTCCACTGGAACGATTCAATCAAGTTCATTCCCCATCTTTATTCCATTTCATTCCCCCACTCATCCTTGCGTGATACTTGGCATTCATCTGCTTGGCCATGGACTGGAGAAAAGAGAGTAATCAGAGATATCTGGGAGTGGTTTCCTAATGAGGGATAAAATACCCCCGAAGTCTTTGTTGCAAATCTATTCTCCACTCTATGGCCACAGATGATGTCGAGATATCATGGATCCATGATATTTTGGTCAAATCCAAGCTGACGTTCCTTCCTATTGTCTGCCTGCGTTCGGTCTAGGTCTGATTCAGTTAGGGAACCGGCACGACAAACCCCTTTGGCCATGAGTCACTCAGATCTCTCAAAGAAGAAAAAGAATCGCTCCAAGAGCAGTCGTCTTCACAGCAAACACCAGAGTAACGCTCGACCTCACATGCGTCCTAATCCTGGCCCATCCAATCATTTGCATCGCAGCAAAGCCCGCACCTCTCGATTCGACACCCTTCGGAAAGAACTAACAGAAAAATTAGGGCTACCTAGCGACTGCCGACTATACTTTTTGAAGAAATATGAAATGAATAACCTACCTGAAACTCCTCGGTTAAAAATCACCCACCGCAACTGTGTAATTCTTGACGCCGACTCTTGGAAGGTTTTGCAAGTGATCCGATTCACACCTTTCTCACAGATGACCGAAGAGCAACTGAAGGAAATGGATTTCACCATCAAAACAATTTACAACCATGCTTTGGCTTGATCTACCGTCAAAATCAATCACGCAATGAAAGGTATTAAAGAACCCGGTGAGATGTATGTCGCCGGCTTCAGGGGTGCCTCAGACAAAGGTCGCAAATTTGGTAAGTACTCTCTGCCTTTTCAACACTTTGACGAATTGGATGGTTCAAATGAATGAATATTTATCTTTTGATATGCAGGTGTGACCGCTCTCAGCGCGAAGACATCAAAGAGCATGGAAGCTATTGCCGAAGACGAAGCAAGGATGGATGACTTGGCACAAATCAACGACACCCTCGCTGAGTGGATGTCCTCATTATGCATGAGAGCGTTTCAATCTAACCAAGACCTAGCGCTTGATTTCTCAATCCCGTCTTTCGCCGATAAAAAGTGGTCGGAATCACCGAATGCCAATGTCATCGCTTCTAGTATTGCCGTAACTCGTGATGGGTTTAACAACAATCCTCATCCCGATTTTGACGCCACCCCATATGCATATGGTTTGTTTTCCAAAATTAATCGTGCCACCGGTGAACTTCATTGGGTTGAGTTATCTGAGTATCTCGGGGACATCGAAGGCTGTTTTTTCATATTGGATCAATATCATGTTGAGTTGTGTCTTGATGAATGTGACGGAGTAGTGGAGAGCTTATGGGCATCGGATGAACTTCATCATACCTCGGCTTCCACCACATACGACGATGGCTGGATTCCAATACGGCCAAAGCATTCGCCAATAACTCGATTTGGCTGCTCACTACAAATCAGCGTGTCTTTGGTTAAACGTATTGAATGCCTGCTGAAGATGAAGCAGGGAATTATACAAGCGATCGGTTATCAAGTGCTATGAGCAGGAAATCGTTAATAAATCGTCCAAGTTCAAAGTCCCTATTCTTGTACCTACAAATCCAAAACACTGGAAAAATTAGCATACTACCCCTCCTGTACTTTCATTTCTTCTAGTCCTTTAACTTCAAACATACTTCAAATGTTTTTTCTCCTCCACCTTCTGTCTTGTCTTTTTGTTTCCTTTATTAGTCGGGTTTAGATTGCCAACAATCCAACATTGTTACTTTTTGTCTTTGGTCCTATCCTCACTGAGATTTAATAGTATTAGGTACATCCTCGTACTGCGTTGATGTCATTTTATTAAAAACGTGAAAATTCGTAGCGGAATTTGTGTCATGAAATAGTTATTTCATATGGTATCAACCCTCATCATACCTGTGTTATTGTTCTTAGGTGTCGAAAGAACGCCTTTTTGAATATAAAAATTCTCAAGACCTGATACTCATTGAAATAGTACATGGTCTTGAGAATTATAGTAAAGATACAATTCCTGTGTTTAAAAAACATGCACACAAGTTTTGCAATTGCCACCAAAAAAGATGCAAGATGGTCTCTAGCAAATGAATACATATCAACCAAAGCATGAACCCATCCGCTATAAGTTTCATGCGTCCTCAGGCACACTCTCACAGGCAGTTGCCGTTAGTAATCCTTGTTTTAATCATGATTTATATAACTCCGACTTTTTCAGACAACATGTCTGCACTCCATAGCAAAGGCTATGAAAAGGTATGCGGAAGCCGGGTCAGCGGCTTCCGTGTTGCAGTTGTATTATCACGGATGGTCTCTTATGATATAAAATGAAATGCCTAAATGTTTGATCTGTGATAATTATGATGAGGTAGTTATCATTAATCAAATGAAATGTCTAATTGGAATCGCAGACTGCTGTTTGCAGTCGCCAGTAAATCTTTTCCGAATGAAAGATGATAAATGTATCAGCTTTGGTTCAATATATTTATTATCCTATCGTCACAGCTTTGTTTCTAAGGTTTGTTTGCATATATTTAGAAATGGTGTCCAGTAAGCTAATCGGCGGCAATACATATCTTTCTGCATACATTGGTTATGATGTTTACTTACTTCGATTCATTCCATGCATTATTGGTTTGCATATCAATACAATCGGTCTCCTATGCGGGAAGTAAGGTTTCGGTGGTGTCATGATCCTATGCGCGAGGTAAGCCATAAGGCGTTGAATATGAACCTTGCTATTTATTCCTTTGGAAATAACTGCATCTCAGTGAAGGATAATTATTGTTCCATTGATTGATCTATTAAAGATTGCTTCAATTGATTGATCAATTATAGTTTGTTTATCTTTACACACTTTGGGTCTTATGCGTAAGTGACTTGCTTCCCACTGGTTCATGGTGATGAATCTCAATCAAAAAGTCTGTTGCAATATTTTGACCAATTTCTTTGAAACTTCCCTCACGTACCCAAATATCATTGATCATTGATCAGTATAAGTATATATATATATACAATAGTTCCATAATTCGAAACATCTGGTGCGATTGTATACCTCTTTATTTGATGCTTCCTTCGCGTATCTGATTCATTTTTATCAGTTTCTATTTGCTCTAGAAATATGTCCGAAGGTGGCTATGATTCAGACCGATGGGCCAATGGGTCACAGAGTTACTGTCGAACTCCATCTCCTGGTCAACCCAATGTCCCTTCATTCAACCATCTCAAGCCGTTGCAGGATGTAGAAGGCATCCTGTCTGATGTTCAACGCCTTGACCTCGACAACAAAATCACGCCTCAAGAATATGACACGTGGTTAGTTAGTGTGTGCAAAGGCATCGACAGACTAACCAATAAGGCCGATTACTTGCTACAACCTCCACCGGTCCTGGCCTCCATTCAAGATGTCATAGACGACCAATGCGCCTATGCAGTCGTCAAGCAATCCGTGGATCCATGTATGCATCAGTGCCTCAACTCTGCTTCTGGCCAAGCCACGATGCCCTACGATGGGTGAAGTGGTGGATTGGGATGGAGTAGTAACAGATCTTTGTAAGTAATGCACACTATCTCTATTTGCATCAAACTCATATCTCTCATCTGCTGACCTACCCTGGAACCAATCTTATTAGCGTATTTGTTTGACAATGTAAGTCAATACCCAATGATTGAGAATCATTGTTTATTGCAACAATCCAGAACCACTACTAACGAATTACTAACTTGACTTGCCATCCTAGGACTAGGAACGTGGCATATCATTATTACAATTTGACTGTATTCCAACACTTTGAAAACTGCTTATTGCGTCCAGAATGTTCAAAATAAATGGGCATATATACCCATTATGAAGTATCACGGCCACATGTACGATGTGCTTTCACAATTGCACAGCTCACTCTTATGTAATGATAAACCAATGGTACCATTTCTCCAACATGGGGAATTTTTGTATGTTTCTTATCCAAACACTAACTATAAGTAGGTATTATTTCAAATATGTTTATCAAAGTTATATTTTCCATCCACTGGACCAAAGACTTACTATAAGTTGGTCTCCTTTAAATGATGTTTCTAAAATTAATTTTTTCATCTGCTGGACCAAAGACTTACTATATGTTGGTATCCTTTAATTGATGTTTATAAAAATTAATTCTTCCAGCCACCAAATTTCCAACAAGTAAAACAAATTCACGCCAATCAAAAGGTTCTATATTACAATCAATGTAGCAATCCAATCAGGTTTTAAGATCAAGTTTTCATAATAAAATTTGTACGATAACATGAGATGGAATTCAAAGGTAATAACTTTCAAACATGTTCATATTTAAATGCATCACATCCTATAACTTTCAAATATGTTCATATTTAAATGAATCACATCCTTTCACTAATAAGTCTTTATTAGCATCATAACTTGAGAAGATATGAAAGGTAATGTCTTTCAAACATTTAAATATTCACATTCAAACATGTTCATATTTAAAAGCATTAAATTCTTTCAACAATAAGACTTTATTAGCATCCTAACTGGAGAAGATATTCAAAGGAAATATCTTTAAAACATGTTCATATTTAAATATTTACTTTCAAACAGGTTCATATATACTTTCAAACACGTTCATATTTAAATGAATCACATCCTTTCAACAATAAGTCTTTATTAGTATCATTACATGAGAAGATATTCAAAGGCAATCACTACTTTCAAACATGTTCATATCTAAATGGTGAACATCCTTTCAACATAAATTCTCACCACTGATGTTTTTCAGTGGTGAACATTATCAGAATTGATGACATGACTATGTGACATGTCAAGGACATGTCACATAGAGACGTATGCTTTTGGAAATGTAACACTTAATCACTGTCGAGACAGATGATTGAACTTGACCTCATCCTCATATTCTATAACACTTATATCAAACTTGCACGCTAAGCATCATGCCACGATTTGAAGGTGTTCACCAACCATTCAAACCCAAAAACCCATACTGGAACAAACCCGCCAAAACCGAGCTACAGAAAAAGTATTTTAAAAAGATGAAGAAGGCGGTGAATGCCCAAAAGAAGGAACGGGGCTCTACCTCTCAAACCCACAATAATCCGTATCGCGAAGGTGGTGACCACGATTATGAGGACATTGGACTTTTGCACGATATGAATAATGAAGAAAGATGTCCCAATGCGTTTCCTGACTTCATTAATGATATTCACGAAGCTCTACTTGAAGTCGAAAGGCAGGAACGCCAACGTCAACTGGAAAAAGCTTTACACGACATGTTTGGTGCTTATCTGGAATGTGGAATGAAGACAAGCGAATGGGGCAATCCTGCCACTTGGGACTTTGATCACAAAGCTCAATGTCGATGTCCACCAAGTCAATGGCGGGAAAGGAATGTTGACCTTGTTGACCTCTTAAGTGAGTTTGATATAATGTAAATTTAATTTAATTTCATTTAACTGATCCATCCTCTCATTGAGGGCAGCCCGTCGAAAGGCTCAGATTCGGTTTTGTCCCTGTTACCAAAGCGATCAAACCCGACTGATTCTCATGGGATACATTGGGGGCTCGCCCAAATATCCACAGACCGCCTTTTCCATCAGGCTTCTTCGATTCTTCCATACCCTTTGGAAGTTCTGTACAGTCCGAATTGACCCATTTGTGCGAGCGCTCGATGGTTTCCTCAATGGGTTCAATCCATTCATTCTTACCAAAAATGACCAGGTCAGTCCGATGTTATTAGTTTAATCAAGCCTCAGGATCCGAAAGGATTCAAACGTTGACTAATGCTGTTCACTTCAGCCTTGGCGATGGCACACACCATTCACTTGGGCAGTCGACGCCTATCGACTCTTGCTGGCGATGACAGAATCCGCGATTGATGAACAACTTCGCCTCACCGCGCTGGACAAAGTTGCTGAAAACTGTCCTCGATGCTTTGGGCCACCAATTCCACTTGAATCGCCAGCCTCAGAACCGGATATAGTAGTATGCATGGATGGTAATTTTCAGCATCGACGTCACATAGCTGCAGGAACTAAAGCAGGGAAAGTAGCTACCAAGATGCCACCTCTGTTTCTACCGGACGAGACAGTGAAACAAATGGAGGCCCGGCTGAACGGCCTTCCTGAGGATGAGTTTGTGAGAAACTTTTCGAACTGTTCATTCATATCAACTTATAGCTTTCTCTTTACAAGCTGACGTATGCTCATTTGTATCCAGCAAGCTTGTGCAGCTCAACATACTGCAGCGAATGATACTCGCGGTAAAGGCCATTGGGGAGGTTGTGACGAGACGGGTCTAATGGCAATGGTGTGCCGTCACGACCACTCTCTCCGCTTTGCTAACATTGTGCAAAGTGGTGAAAAGTAAGTTTTTTGCCTGGCTTCCTTTTTCAATATAGAGTAATAACTGAACATGGGATCGATCAGGCTACACTATAGCTACAGTTTGATTCAATGGATACTGGACTTGACCCGAAACCATGGACTCACTCCTCGCCGAGTTGCCTTTTTGTACGACATTGGATGTACGATGCTTGCTGGAATAGAGAATGTAAGGTTTATTGTGGCCAAACATTCATAATCGTACTAAAAGCACGGTTCGACAGCGTGGAATGTTTGCAGATGAACGGGCCCACGGGCGACTCAAATTTGGCACAAGCGTATTCCACGCGTATGTGCATCGGTGGTCTTGCCAGCTGCGCTGGAATCCCCGGCTTAATCTGGGGTTTGGACTTTCTGATGGTGAAGGAAGCGAGAGGGTGTGGTCTGGCCTGGATTCCCTCATACCTCCACTCAGGTACGCCACCGCACAACACCGGGTGAACGCGATCCACATGCGTTCAGCTCATGTCAATTCACGGCTGCGTCATGAAGCGGGTACGCGAATGTTACTCAATATTTGTATCCATACACATCATCCCACTGACCATCCCCTGCTGTTCGATGTATCACAGTTTATCATCTAATAAGGAAGACAACTGAGGCTAAGAAGCGCCTTGAAGAGGCTTCAGAGACCCTTAGGACGCTGTCGACCCCGGGCGAGGGGTGCCCTGGACGCGATTCTGCCTATTTTGAGGCCAAGTGGATGGCTCAACGAACGCGACAGCTAGATGCAATGACTGAGAGACAGCAAGCAAAAAGAGACAAGATAGCTCTGTTACTCGGTCTGGAGGAAGGCCTTCATGTTACTCTGTAAGTGCAGCCTAGCAGCTTACTAACAGTTCGTGTCATAATAGACATAATCTGACCCATGAATTTGGGTGCTTGAAGCGCTCGACTCGCCTTCATGGAAGATACTGATAGAAGAGCAAGAACCCAAGCTGAACGAAATGAGCTGCTGGCCCTTCCTAGGACTGTGGCTGATATTGAAGATTGGATTGATGCTGTGGCGATTCAGCTTGGGGGTGCTGAGTTTCAAAACATTTTGGGTGCCCAAAGTATGTCTCCATCGGCCTTTATGAGATGAGATCACTGATGCTAACATGTCTGATTTATCTCCAGAGAATCAAAAAACCGCACTTGTAGCGCTGTCTGTTGCGCGGGGGTGCTTGTATGAAGCGAAAGTCGGAGTAATCGAATCAAGGCTACGGCGTCATCGCAGCTCAGGTGACCAACGATTGTACGTATTTATCCAGACCCGACCTGACGCATATGCCATCTCTGCCACCAGGAACGAGAGTACAGCAGCAGCACGCACGCCAGTGTAGAGATAAATTGAGAGATCTACGGACCAAATACAACACTTAAAAGCGACGTGTTCTCAAGTATCACACAGATTACCCAACAAGTGAACGTGTGGAACTGCCAGACTTTGAAACAATCGAAGCAATGGAGACGGATGATCCCTTCTGGGACCGCGGCGAAAACGTGGTACAAGAGGGTGACGAGGCGGAAAAAGGCCGCATTCGCCAAGGTATTCAAGCCTTCTTGGCCCATAGGTCAGCTAAAGAAGAGCTGCGTCGTCTCGCGCGGGAAGCTTGCCAAATGATGAGTTGGGCCATTGAGTATCATGGTCGAATTATGACACTCAAGAACAGTCTTGATCAAGGTAATCGTGTTGTTACTGTGACTTATGTATATGATTGCACGTCAGGTTGATTGTTTTAATTGCGACTTGTATCCAGAGTATACTCCTGCAGAGAAGACTCAGAAGATGGCCCTTTACAGGATTGTGGCTGGTCGGGCTTGTCAGTTGTGGAAGAATTGGCGAAATCTCAAAAATCAGCTAGAAGATACTCGTCGTGAATTGCCTGGCTGCGACCAAGTGGATAGAACGTTAGGACAGGGTTGGAGTAAGGTTTGTGATTGGGTAATTGCAGAAAGGGCTCAGTTGACGCCGGAGGTGATGGGGGAGGAGCCCGATTTTTATGAGGAGCGGGAGGACCGCATTTATGGTGATGAGATATGGCAAGACTAATGCTTCGTGCTTTTTCATGTAATTATTTTTGTTGACTCATATAACCAACCGATTATTTGCTATCAATTGCATATCCATTACGAGATTTGGTACAAGTGTATTGATTTATACAAAAATAAGGGTTTTCTGAGCTAGCTGAAGAGGCTGGCTATTCGAGCCACACCAGAAAGGTCACTCAACCAGACTACATTTGTTAACAACAGCTGTACATAGATGAATGAGGGGAACCTATGTACAATAGCGATGCAACAGGCTAATCAACTTCAACAGCAGTACCGTGGGAAGCATACAACAACAGATATTCAGCAACTAAGATGGGGTAGATACATTTGGTGAACATGTTGAAATGGGATTGATACTTAGTAACCCATGAAGCTGTCTCCGGCTTGGCAAGTTTATACCATTCTTGCCACGGCTTAGGTATAGGAACACACAGGGAGGATACTAAAGAAAGAGACAAGAAATGAAAACCTTTTCGATCATAACAGAGGTATATAGGAGGATTATTGTTCACTGGGCCTTCCAAAGGTAATGCCGAAAAGCTTTCATGGCCGTGACCGTAAACACAGAAAGGCCGCTGATAAGTTGTTGCAATGAGGTACAACATCTGGGCGGAATCGAGCCACAGTGAAGGTGTGTCCAATACTTGTTTCCTGTTAGTTTTGAGGACCGATATGTGTTCTGCTACTCCACCATCTCCTCGCTTACGTGCTTTGAAGTGAGAGTTGTAGAAGTGAGTTTTGGACTGTAACTCTGCAATCAGTTCATCCCGCACCAGAGACCATTTATCTTCAGATCGGCCCAGACTGATTGCAATCGCTCGGTAACCGCAACGGCCATCACCAATTGGGTTGGAGACTGATGACACATATCCATGAAGCCAAACGGGAACACGAGGGTCCTAAGCGAGAATTATATAAGAGATCTGGATGTATGTACGCTAAAATGAGACAGAAACAGCAGGTTGAAGCCTGACGTACACACTTTTTTCCCCGTGTGGGTACGTGCAGACCGGCGAGGACCTGGCACTGAAGACGTGTTGGTGTCAACCTCGTTGTGCCTACTAGATCTTCGAAGGCTTGAGCTTTGCTCCACTTGGCCAGAAGCCGATGCGAAAGCAGCAGCAGCCTTTCGTTTCTTCACCTAACATAGGGAGCACGATATGGAGTGTAAGCTGCATGCGATAAACACTATTTTAAACTAGATATGACACACTTTGTTGGATGCAGGCGGCGTGGGGCCTATCGGGGGGTTTTCTTCTGGTGGATTTTCATCGCGGTGGGTTATGCTTGTTCCTGTCGCAGACGGTAACAACGATTCCAGCTGAAAGCTCCCGTCATTATTGTCAATGTCGCACTCTGTAGGCAAAAATTCGGTTGCAGGTAGATCACTTTCCAGCGTGGTGGTGAGGGAAAGCACTGTGGGTAAGGCCTAGAATGTAAGTTCGATATGATTGACGTAAAATCACTACAATTTAGCCTCGGAGTACAATTGCGAGTGCTGAAGGGCGGGGGAACGATACTTACCATAGGCTGTTTGGTCGATGGAAGTGTAGTGGGAATAAGAGTAGGTGAAGGCTATCATATTAAAATTTTTAGTCACTGAGTTGTACACCTGAGCGCATATTAATGTGAGCTGGCTCACCAAAGAGTCAGTGTCATGGGTATCCTCAGAGTCATAATCAACCAATCGTTCCAGATCTAAAGAAGAATATGGGGCGGCTGGAATCTTTGATGCGTGTGTTTTGGGTTGAAGATGTGATGAATCGAGGCACTGAGGTAATATAAGGTAAGTCAGTTGAGAAGTTGAATAGCGGAGGCTGTGGGGCGGGGCTGACTGGTCCTGGTGAGATTACAACGTGTGTGTTACCAATGATGGGTTGATCTGAGACCTGATCTGCCTTGGAATCTAGACTGGGACTTGGATCGAGCGCAGGTGTCAAATTAAGGGATGTTGTATCGAGATCAGTTGTTGTATCGGGAGCAGTTGTTGTATCGAGAGCTGGTGTACTTGGTTTGAGAGCTGGGGTTTTCTTGATGATTTTATTGTGTTTCTTCTTCATGACCAGGGGAGCTTTGTCTGTGCGCTGAGCAACAGGCTTGATAGCAATTCGAGATGAGAGTGATTGTTCAGCATTGATTGTTGATGTTGTCTTGATCGCTGCCGATGACAAGGCAGAGTCTGTTGTTGATGCACAGGGGGTATTCAGCGGTAGGTTTGGGATGGTGGCGCTGTACTTCTGAAGTACTTCCTCGATTTCAGCAAGTGCTTGAGGCCGATGAACGTCTGAGATCTGAGATAATTTGTGCGAAATCTGGAGGACCGTATGTAAGCATTTGACTGGCCAATAGGAGCAAGTGAATAAACAAACCTGAGTTGATCGTTGTTTGATCTCAGTCATGCTCTCAGATAATGTTGCCTGATGTGTCTGGATGTGGATTGAAAGTGGTGCAATAAGCGTAAGATCATGAGGTTGGGAAGTTATAGATTGACTGACGGTTGCTCCAATTGGACCGTGGTTGTGTCCGGAGTGTTTGATATGAATGACCCAACTGCCAACTGGTGGTAGCGATTGAGTGGAATTCTCCATTACAATTGCCTGGAGATGACTGGGAACACGGGGAGCAATGATCTCGGACACAGTCAAGGAGAAAGGACAGTCGGTTTTGCGGGATGTGGAATGAATGGAAGGTTTCCGTCCTGATCGATGGCAGGTGTAGCGTACACTGGTGTCGTCTGAAGATCGAATTGTGATCTTGTATCCGTTTGCAACGGCGTGAGCTTGGAGCTTGTCATGAATATCGGATTGTGAGGAACCAATGAGGTTGAGTGGTGGCGGTTGAAGGCTGGGAACGGTGCTTGACAAAGTAGTTGGCATGATGCGGTATTGATGGTGGTCCTTGAAATTGATTGTTTGACTTATTCAACAATGGAGGAGTTGTAGTGAGGTGGGAGGAAGGTGTGTTATTGAGCTATTGGTCGGGTTATGTGAAAAGTGTAAAGATAATAAAGGGTGGTGGAGTTATGTTTTGGTTTGTGTATGTAGTAGTGTTATGTATACAGGGTGTTAGGATGTCGTGGTCATTTTTTTCAAGTGGGTGATGTTGAAGGGAGGTATAGTTCTGATTGGGGGGTGCGTGCATATAATTAAGATGGGTAGGTAATTACACAGGGGTAGGTTTGTCAATTGTGAGGTCAGAATATATAAGACCAGGTGGATTATTGTGTTGAGAGGGTGAGTATATGGAAGGGTGGTGTAGTGGTAATGAGGGGTGGTGTGTGTTGTGTAAGCGTGCGAGGCTGATGAGGGCCTCCCTAAGGGAAAAGTGGGACTTAGCCAAATTTGGAGGTCACCAGGATCCTTCTTAAGATGATGCATCATCTTGGCAGGGGGGATCGAACCCCATTGGGTCATACAGACGTCTGTATGGCCCAATTGTATAGGGTACAAACATAACTGTACAGGTGTGAAATATTGTGTTTGAGTGGAGTTCAGGTCAAAGCTGATAGTATCTGGGCCAATCAAAAGGGTAAGGTAAGGGACCATGAAGGATGAGCTTGGTTCACGGTTTTGAAAAAATCTACAATTGGCTGATGAAGATTGATAGGAGACATACCCAGGCAAGTGTGTAGGTTAGGAAACAATTTAGTAGGATGATTGGATAGGGAGCAAACCATGAGAAAATCTCTGTAGCCCTTTTATATTTTTTGAAGACTGTCTGTGTTGCTGTCCATCCGACTTTTCATCAATATTGTGTCATTGAGCCCTATGTTGTGGTCTCTCATTGTGTAAATCCATTGGTGTTTGGAGTCTCCCTGGGATTTACATAAGAAGTTTCATTGTCTGTGGACTGCACAGTGGAATGACATCACTGCTGCTACAACAATCAAACACTTATGTACATGTATTGGTCAACTTGTTTGCAATCAAGATTATCAGGTCTTGGGTGTGATGAGAGACTAGTCTCCGCTTGTTTCACTTTTTGGTGTGCATGGATTCATTTTTTTATTGCGGAGAAGCTCATTTTTGCGTAACAAGTATGCGCCTTGATGCTTGACCACCCACTTTTCGCTTTCTGCTTGGATTGTGTGAATTGATTGGTGTCTGGAGGCTCCTTTGCTTCACATAACAAGTTTCATGGTCCATGGAATGCACAGAGGAATGCAATGCAAAACAACTTCATTATTTATTGTGGCACCAGTGATCAGATTTCTGGTAACAGTAATCATTTTTTTGTCTATTGATGTAAATTGATTGGTGTTTGGAGTCTTCCTTGGCTTTACATAAAAAGTTTCATGGTCTGTGGAATGCACAGAGGAATGAAATCATTGTCACTACAACAATCAAACACTTATGTACATGTATTGATCAACTTGTTTGCAATCAAGATTATCAGGTCTTGGGTGTGGTGAGAGACTAGTCTCCGCTTGTTTCACTTTTTGGTGTGCATGGATTCATTTTTTTATTGTGGAGAAGCTCATTTTTGTGTAACAAGTATGCACTTTGATGCTTGACCACCTGCTTCTTTCTTTCTCGGATTGTGTGAACTGATTGGTGTTTGGAGGCTCCTTTGCTTCACATAACAAGTGTCATGGTCCATGGAATGCAGATGAATGAAATGTAAAATGACTGCATTATTATTGTGGCACCAGTGATCAGATTTCTGGTAACAGTAATCATCTTGTTGTCCATTGATGTAAATTGATTGGTGTTTGGAGTCTTCCTTGGCTTTACATAGAAAGTTTCATAGTCTATGGAATGCACAGAGGAATGAAATCACTTTCACTACAACAACCAAACACTTATGTACATGCATTGTTCAACTTATTTGCAATCAAGATTATCAGGTCTTGGGTGTGATGAGAGACTAGTCTCCGCTTGTTTCACTTTTTGGTGTGCATGGATTCATTTTTTTATTGTGCAGAATCTCACACTTGCCTAACAAGTGTGCGCTTTGATGCTTGACCACCTGCTTTTTGCTTTCTGCTTGGCCTGTGTGAATTGATTGGTGTTTTGAGGCTCCTTTGCTTCACGTAACAAGTGTCATGCTCCATGGAATGTACAGAGGAATGAAATGTTAAATGACTGCATTATTATTGTGGCATCAGTGATCAGATTTCTGGTAACAGTAATCATTTTTTTGTCCATTGATTGGGAGGCAGGAGACATATTTTCTGTTTTGCTGAATTTTCAAGGGCCAATTCACTATATCCCCACCCTATGCACAAATGGTCATGCTTGTCTTGGCTACATATAACCGCTCTATCAAGATCCATGTAGTCCACATGAGGGGTAGAAGGCAAGCAAGAAGGAGAGCAAAAAGGTTCCAGTATTGCCTCCTCAATCTGACATATTTTTGGCAAAGGAATGTTGAGATAATCTTATATCTTACCTTCAATCATTGTGAATGTGATTCCTTTTGAAATTCTGTTGATCAATTTTGCACATGTTTGTTTGATAGATACAAAGATTACAAAGGTGTAAATGTATGTGATGAATGTGAGAGAAATGAAACAGTATCTACATGGTTGAACAAGGTTTGGCTACAGGAAAGGGTGGTAGGAATTGCCCACTTGGTTTTGTTGAGACTCATCAAAAACATAAAGCAATGGCATTTGCATAATTGGGTGTATGATGTGGTTTGATTCAGCTTTAATGACTGCCATTCACATTTTCATCAAAAACAAAAAGCATATAAGTAAAGAAGTTGATCCAACATGGTATCACACGTCATTTCATATTTACTCAACAGCTCATGGATTGTGAAATGGTAACATCATCTAGTGGGTGTCAAAAAACATTGTATGCATTTGAATGGTGGGGATATGGTAAATTGACCCTTGAAAATTCAGCAAAAAAGAAAATATGTCCCCTGCCTCTCAATTAATAGACAACAAGATGGATTGTGATCCAAAAGTTCAAAAGCAGAGTGGGAATTACCAGGCCACAACCAATCAACCATTAGATCTTGAATGAAATGGTTGTATTGCCCTTCAGTTGTGGTCAAGTTGATAGTTTGTCTTCTTTCCTAGCATACCCAATCTCCTTGGCTTGATTTAAATATGGGGGTTTGTTTCCTTTGTTTACGGTTCAATAAAAGGTGTTCTGATGTACCACCAGCATTCAAATGAAAGCTTGTGTCATGCTTTATTTGTGGTCAAATCAAAGGCCTGTTTAGTTTATGCACCAGCGTACCATGACCAAGTCTCTTTCTATCCAAGATTCACCTTCACTTACTTCTGATGATATAAGAAATGCATATAAAAAAGCATCACTCTTACCTCATCCAGATCAAAAATCAAATCTCACAGAGTCAAACAAATTTCAAGCAACAGTTGAGCAAAACCCACCCTCAAAATTTCTTTTCTAATCAAGGTTTTATCTTTAATCTGTGTTGTTTTTGTGGTTTTGCATAGTTTGAAATTCAGAGTGCCTGATTCTTGTTATTTTGCATCAGATTCAAAATGGCAAAAAGAACACAATATTTTGAGGAATGAGTATTTAAAAACCAATTTATTTCAAAACAAAACTCAAAAAGAACAAACCAATCCAAATCCTTCATTTTTCAATTGAATCTTTCATACTTCTAGTACAAATCCACCAACTCAATCAAAAGAAGAGACCCTTTGACATGATCCAAACCAAACGTTTTCATCAATCTGTAAGTAACTTTCCCTAACCTCCTCAATCTTCACCAAAAGATCTGATGTCTTGATTTGATTCAGTTGAAGCTATATTAAAACCAGAAGTCAAAAAATTCACACCATTATGGAAATATTTAGGAGCAGCTTTGGGTGCTACATTAGGATTTATAGTAGGATCTATACCAGGTTCAGTTATTGGATTGTTTGCAGGAGGTCAATTAGGTTTGATTTGAGATGCTAAAGGGAAATCAGGTTTGGCTGTCTTTTTATAACTTGATTTGATTCAAAAAGCTACAATCCTTGAAGGTTTAGCTATCAAAGTCTTGGTCATGCTTTATCTTAAAGTCTCTTGTTTCCATGACTTGTCTACATTCTCAAAATGCAATGTAGGCACCCAAAAATTACACCTATGTCCTTTTTGGGAATGTAGGCGCTATCTTTGAGCGCCTAAATTGAATTTCCTATGTAGGCGCTCAAACATAGTGCCTACATTTCAAATCAGACATGGAGGCTCTTGACGAATCAATTGGATGCAAAGTTATGAAAGGTATGCAACAAATAGACAATTTTGGGGAGAACAATTGTGGAGCGATATGTGATGACATGTTTAAAGTCATCAGGGGGGAAACATGACTGATAAATTTGCAAGAAGTGCAATTGTGAACAGTCAAGTGTATCACAATGTACTCATATCCCTCAAGCAACAGCCAATTTGGTGAAGCTGTGTCAGATAAGAGGAAGCAGCTCCAGATTTTGTCTCCAGGGTTCTAAAATTCCATGGTTCCCTTGGTACATGATCAAGACCCAACTGGAGAGCCATTGGATTTGGAGTGAAAAGAAGGAGATCTAATTTATATTGGTATGCAGGAAGAGCAAGCAATGGAGCGAGGTATGTGAGGAAGTTGAAAAGAACTTTTAAATCAGGGGAGGCCACTTTGTTGATGAAAAGTGTTTCTTGCTGAAGATATGTTCAACACAAGCCTATCATCATATTTGCAAGTTCAACACTTTTACAAGACCCCAGAGCAAGATGCACAATCTCAGGTGTATCTTTCCGCTTTGTTTATGGAGCCCTTGAGCAATTGATCTGCTTCAGATGTAAACCCATATTCAGTTACCGTATACAGTCAACTCCCTCTAATTACATACAGCTTGGCAGGTGGTTTTTCTTGCACTTATAGACCTCATTTTGGCTGGAAAACCCCTTTTTGGCAGCAAAAAATCCTATGCACATGTAGAATTATTCACTTACAGGAATATCAGCTTAGAGGGAGTTGGTTTGCTTTGTTTTTATATCCCTTCTTGAACTAGCTAGCATGATCTGATGTTCAAATCTCTTGTGTGTTATACTGCAGCTCAGTTACATTCATGATACTTTTCTCCAGTTCATTGAGCCTGAGATCTGTCTCTCATGATAAGAGAGGGTGCTTCAGAATTTTTTGCTTGTAACATAATGCAAAATAAACAAAATTGACAATTGTCAACAGGGCCTAATGTAGACAAAAAGATGAAGCAAGAAATCATAGAGCAAATCTCATTTAATAGGTATCTCCTCTGATAGGGATGCAGTGAATAAACCAAATTCATTCATCTTATTTCCAGTTAACGCATGCAATCACATCAGAACATGTGCCGCTTCTTTCCACCAATCCCCAAGACTGATAGATGAGACCAAGAGCATCTCAAACAGGCGATTCGATCAAAATTGGTGAAAAGGTCAAAAAAGAAAGATGACCTTGACTGACGACGAGGCTACTTGGATTTGTTTACCTGTAACATTTCGTGCATGCTATTGAGGGTGATAAAAACGGCTCAGAGACTAGATAATTGATACAAGATTGGGTGGATAGTGAAAGAGTAAGATGACTTACTCGGGCCAGGTATCGTCCCGCGTTGATAATCGCATCGGTATCCGACCGGGGGACCTCCTGATGGCCTGGGCACAGTGCAAGCTGTGAAGAGGAAAGAATAAAACCACAAATCAATGACCAAGTTTTGAACTTATCGGGCGCATCTGGATGACAAAACGAAAGGATTGCGCGGAAAACTAACTGTAATCACTGGTGTCCCAGGCGTATTCTGGACATGGTACGGTCCTCTCATATGTACCGGCATGACAAGCCAACATAGGACGTTCTAAGGCAAAATAAAGTATCAGTTTGAGAAAGAATTAGGTGTACCAAACATTGAAATGTCGATGATGAAAGCGGAAAGTCGATGCCTACTTTCGGTGCATTGGTCACATTCATAAGCCCTAGAATCATCACCCATGCAGTCTTTTTTGGAAGGCAAAGAAAGAGTTAGAAACACATTTTGTTTGCAAGAAAACCGTTTGATCATTCGACTCACGATTTTTTCCTCGTGGTCCCAATCTATATTGGAGGGTACATTTAACTTCACCCATATATTCGCCGACACCTCCCGAACACAAGCCAAAATCTAATCGTGTGACACAGATGCCAATGAAGATGATGAAAAGTTTATGACAAGATAGGAAGGATAACATGGCAATATATGACAATAAAGGCAAGAGTGAATGGGCAGATGAGGCGATACTTGGATACGAATTGTAAAATGGAGAAGAGTTTTGCAGTTAAACGAGAAATAAGCTGAAATAAGCTGCTTCAAATGGATTGGATGGATTGATCTTGGTTGAGAAAAGAAATGATTTTGAATGTACACGGAGAAAGTCAAACAACTTACCTCAAGAGTCAAGAGTCAACATGATGACTTTTTATAGCTTTTGATACAGTCGATCTCAGAAATGTTGGAAAAAGCCAACATTTCGAGGTGAGGTCGGGGTCCGTGCGCGGAGCGGTGACACAGAGATGATGTGACATGAGGTGACTTTTTCCTTCGAAAAAGTCATGGCACATGTCGCTTTGATTTTCACTAACCTCCACTCGACAGCTTCCATCGAAAGGTCATCATGGGCACCCCATTTTTCTCGATTCCCCCCAATCGGTCCCCTCCATCGAATCCTACCCCCGTTCCTCAGCTCCAGATCACCATCCCTAACCGTCAAAACATGGGTTTTCAGCACTATTCCGAAGACATCAAGTCGTTAGCCATCCAAATGGTCATGGATGGTCATAGTCATTCGCATATCAACCGAACGCTTCGAACCAAGATTTCCTACAACTCCTTTGCCCGATGGAAGGCCTTGTATATCCGAACAAACCGAGTCGTAGCAGATCCAGCTACTTACAAACAAAGAGGCCAACCTCATGTCCTATCCGATGATCATCTGATGGTCTTGAAAGACATCATTACACATTCACCTGCCTTGTACCTCGATGAGATTCAACAACGTCTCAATCAAATCACCGGCCTAGATGTTTCCAGAGCAACTGTTTCACGTGAGCTCAAGCGCCGACTCGGATTATTTCTGCTTGTAACTTGTGGTGTTCATCAAAAACAGTCGCTGGAAGAACGTGTCAGGTTTGTAAAACGTATTGCAAATATTCCGGCGGAATACCTAGTTTTCATTGGTAAGTCTTCCAATATCTTTCATTATATTTGATTTTCTGGACACGTACACTTACATGATCACTGATGTAACTGATTATCTTTATGTTACACTCGATCAGACGAATCGGGTGTTGTCGGTCGAGATGCCACGAGAAAGAAGAGCTGGGCTCCTACTGGGACTCGTACAGTCCGGGAAACCCGCTACCAAGAAAACGACCATTGGACCATTCTTCCGGCCGTTTGCGAGGCCGGAATGATCGCGGGGACAGTGGTTAAAGGACCAGTGGAGCGTGTGCATGTGGAGCTGTTCTTAGCTCGGAAACTGGTCAGATTGGTTCTTCTCTGAAGCCCTGGTGAATGAAAAATTGATGATGCTCTCCCTCTCGAGAGCAGCAGCTCCCAGTGATGAATTCTTACCCCGGCCCTAATTTGGTTCTGATCTTGGACAACGCCAAAATTCATCATGGAGGAAAAATCGAGGCCTTATGCAAAGAGAAAGGAATCTTATTAATATATCTGCCTGCGTACTCACCTGACCTTAACCCTATCAAAAAAGCATTCAACTGCATGAAGAAGCGTCTGCAACGAGAGCAACGCTGGCGGTTCGAGAACGACAAGTGCAGTTATATCCTAGGGGTGGCCGGCAGAGTGATCACCAGGAGGCTTATGCAGCCGCTCATTGTTTCGAGCGGCTATGTGACCCAGTTTTATTGGTACCGTTATAATCTACAGTTTCCTGAATAGAAAGGCCCAGGTAAGCCTTGTTTGATTTTTGACTTGTTTTCACCCAAAGGTCGACTGGGAGTTTTGATTTTGGTTGTCCTTTTTTTCACCGTTTGTGAATATTAGAATATTTCGATTATATGAGTGCCAAAATAAAAAAAAGTTGGTTAAATTGGATTGATTTTTTGAATCACATAACCTATGTTAGATAGAAATTAAACAACCAAATATATACAAATTTGTTTTTGTTTTCAAATAAAATATAATCGCTTTCCTCAGTGAAAGCGAAAAGATAGTTTTGTTTGTGAACTATCTTTTTCATCATTATTCAAAAAATTTAATGGTTAAGAATTATCCTATTTGTTGGTTATCTTAATTGTGTATTTCATTTTCCAAACAAAAAAAAAGTATTTTCCTATTCCCAAAATCTTAGTTCCCAAAGTGAACTAATGTGTTCGCTTTTGGATGAACTTTCAAATTATCCTAAAGTGAACAACAAAAAAAATTAATCATTGTGTTTCCATAATCTTTTGTCTTCGAAGGTTTGACCCAAGTTTGTTTTGCGAAAAGAAAAAAAAGGTGTATGTTTTCTTGTTTGAAGCAATAAAAGACTTATTGCTTCGGTTTCGCGTTTTGAAGCTTGGATCTCGGATAACCAATGTAACATACTCCGAATTGCCTTTTGAAAATATCATCTTGATATTTTCAAAAGGTATCAAGTCGATATTTTATTATGTGAGATATTTGGAAGTTTTTGGTCGCTTTATCTTGTGGGACAAGATGATTCGATCATGTGGTAGCACACTTCAAACTTTGCAATTTCATTTCAAATACACTTCTTTGAAGATAATATCATCAATCGACAAATACCTACGTGTTTTGGGTAATATAAAGAGGGAGACAACTCCTATGGAAATAACAACGGAAATAAACCCCTTTTGTAGGTGTATCATTCGCAGGAAAATAATGAAGATAAATAAAAATCCGGAGGGTTTATCGCAAGAAAAAAAAAGTAACCTCTCCAGGGCACAGACCACCTTGTTTGAGTTATCTAAGATAAAGAGAAAATCCCATAACCAACCGTCGAATTTTTCGAGTTTGAAGACATGTCACATTTTTGTAGAAACAAGATCAATTGATAACAATCAGCCGGGTCGAGACGTTAGATGATCATGCTAGAATCAAACGGTTCTTTGGGGTTGTTCACTTCTGCACTGAGGATGTATTGATAAAAGCGACGGGCGCAGTTCATTAACCTCATAGCGCTTCCTCGGTTGATGCCCATGTCGATTAGGTCTTTTAGACCGGTCTCTTCGGGATAAAGGAAAGCGTCGAAACGGTCGATATCGTGATCTAATAAAATGGCAGCGACCTCGTCGTGCTTCTCAACTCGAACCCCGGCGAAGGCCATGTACTCCTCCATCGTGGCGTAGGTACGGATTCGGTCTAAATCGTATGGATCTACAGCTATGTCATAACCTTGAGCTTCTGAAATGGTGCCAGGGACAATTTTTGCAGGTTGCTCCGTTATGCCATTTCCAGGGCTCAGGGGGGTCTGCATAGCGACGGGCTTCTTTAAATCGGTCCATTCAAACCCTTCGGCTTCTGGGGGCACTTCCAGCGTGACTTTCGAAGGGTTTTTAACCTGGCCAAAGGTATCAAACGGTTAGTTTTCAATCATTAAAAAGAATGAATCAATATAAATGAGTCAATCAATAGCAACTTACCATATGCTCCGCCCAAATTCTCAACAATTGGAAATTCATCGGCATTACTTTTGTGATGTCGTTGTGCTTGTACACTCGCCATCCCTCGGAGTTGTTATTATTTGCAGTGCTATATTTTAACATTAAGGCGGCCAAAGCGGTATCCACTGGGTCAACTGGGGTGGTATGAGCGAGATCGGAATTCGAAGTCTCCACATTGTCATTGATATTTCTAGCCTGTAATTGATGTTGACCGATAGAAAGCATCTGTAGAAGACAAATCCCATCACATTAACAAATCATGTGATATTTAATGCTGAACAGAGATCAAAACGTACCTTTTCAGCCTCCAACTTCTTTTTGTTGGGATCTTCCATTAATGTGTCAATACCACTAGTCCGCTTTGGTTGACTCGCAACAGCCTTAAAGAAGGCCTTGACATCCTCATTGGATGTCAACTCCATCTCCGCTCCTTTATTGTAAATATCGTGACTATGAATGTACGCTATATAGTGAACAGAGTTGGTAGAGTCCGCCGCTTTGAAAATGAAACTGTTTCCTTCCGAACTTTTACCCATTTGATCCGAAAAAGCAAAAAGATCTTGCTTCAAGTCCGAGAAGGAGTAATTGTTGATATTGATAGCAAATTTGCGCGCTTTGAAGGTGTGACTGAAAATCTTCGGTGCTCGATTCTTAGCTACCGCCGGGCCTCGAGCAGGATCCACACCTTGGCGTGAATGAACTACATACTTGAACCACATTTCGTGCATAAGCTCTTCAGGTTCATCTAAAGAATGAATAAAACAAAACATTCAACAATCAAAATCCAAAGATCAAAATTTGAAAGAAACCAAGATGAGTTACCTAAAGTCATGTTAGCAGCTTCCTGCTCGCCAGCAGCCGGATTCTCATGATGAGCGTCATTCCACAAATCAGATGGTGATGGTGGTAAAGAACTCTCCCGACTAGGTATGTGATGGTCCCCAGTTGGAGGAATGACACCGTTAGTCGAAGTTTGAGAAACTTGGGATTGATTCAATCGAACGCTTTGACTGGAGTGTTGTGCATCCAAACTCGAATATCCGAAGGGAAACATAGGATCACGTCTGCCAGGTTGAATGGTTGTAGTTGGAGATTCTAAAACCACAAAAGAGTCTTTGGCAGGAGTTAATTCCCTGGTTTGATGATTGAAATCGGACGGTGTTTGGACCACTCGATGGGCATCGAAGCTGGACAATTGAGAGGAATTGGGGGCAAGAATCTGATTCATCTGTTGTGAATCCAAAGAGTCGTGTCGACCAAGGCTTTGAATCGAGGGCGTTTGGTTGACAAGGACATTCCTTGGTCTAGCTCCTATTAGAGCAGCGAGCTGTACAGAGAGTCTATCGAGAATTTGATATATCCTGCCACATCTTGCCATCAGCTGTAAGTTTTCTTGTTTCCTTTCGCGTGATGCAAAGTTATGTGATCAATTCCTAACTTCACTAAGTCCCTCTCGGACGAGCGAGTAGTCGAGATTAGAATCAATTCATATCTGTTGATCACGCTGGAGTCGCGACTGGGGCTCGGTCGCGAGCAACAGCGTGGGACTACACCACAGGGGTGT